AACTATCACTAATCGGAAACCATACCAAGTTATCTTTCCCTGTCATCTCCTACATTTAGTCCTTCTGGCATGAGTCACTAATCCTTATATCAAACTTTGGCATACGAATGAATTCAGATTCTAGGGAAATATGGTCCACACGAATCGTCACTTCCCATGGGACTTCCAACCCATTTCAATCCTTTTAACCATAGGCTCCATTTATACACATAGACTCAAACATGTGAAAGTAATGATGTGTACATCCCAAAGGAGCTCTACATAAGCATCAACTCTTCGAACAACACAAATAGAGGATAGTTTCTGACTATGTGATAAAATATAACATAATGTGATCATATTCGGCAATCACAAGGTGGTCACATTCACCTTAATCATAAAACAACACACTAACCATACTTGTTCCATATAATGCATCTCACTCACAACTATGGTAACCATCCATCCATCCATGACACACACCTAGGTATCATATTGCATGAATTTCACCTTCTACTATATCTAAGTCATACTTGCAACCTAGTTATCTTTTTAATTCCATTTACCTAGTTTTAAGCCTAGGTTTCCTCACTCATCTTCATATCGTTTTAAGCATGTTATCACACAATCAAAACATCTAAACCATTATTCATATGTCATACATGTAACACATATAGTAGCATAGCATAAACAAGTCAAACATAATTAGTTCACATAAGGCATATAATTATCACTATCCTCTACCAAAAATTCTTGTTTAATTCATGATCTCACAGTAAATAGGAATTTCGGAGCCAAACTCCTCACCAAATAGGACTTTTGGAACAAAGGTTCCTCACCAAATAATCAACCCAATTCACATGGTGTTCATCAAAATGCTAGGTGTTCCTCTTCACCCGTTCACATACTATTCCATATTAAATTCAATTCATTTCTATTCTATCACGTAGAATATTGGAATAGCTTTCCAACGCTTTCGACTGTGCTTCAATCCGAGTTACGATTCTCAAGTTACGAGGAAAACAAGAAACGAAAAAACTGTACCCTGTCATGGTCGCTCAGCGAGCAGCCAACGAGGCTGGCTCGCTTTTGGTTCACTCGGCGAACCCCAGGCGAGGCCCAGACATAACCAAATTTGCAGTATAGTCGCCTGGCGAGCAGGTAGCAAGGTAGCTTGCTTTCTATTTGCCAAGGCTCGCCTGACGACGCTATCAGAAAATAGCTCGGCTTGAGCTCGTTTGACGACTCAAGCGAAACTCAGAATTCCAGCATTGCAATCGAAAGGTAAACATGGTTAAAACCTTCAACCACATGATCATGTAGCATCCAAACACCCCAATCAACATAGATTAACATAGTATGGCATGTAATTCATCAAGATCATCATGTATTAACATGCAAATCACACTTAGACATGTTTTCACACAAAAACCTAAATTCTCACTCATACATTTTCTTCCGTCCCAAAGCTAATTCTAACTATGGAACTCACATTGTTGAAGAATAAGATGAGTTTATTATGGAGATGATGAATTTCCTCTTCTTTCTCGATGAGCTCTTCTTCCTTCCTCTCTTCTTTCCCTTTTCTCTTCTCTTTCTCGTTTCCTCTTCTTTTCTTACTAACTTTCTTCTTATTCTTCTTTTTTATTCCTTCTCATCCACTCATATACATATGATATATATAATAATATTATGTCATGACATAAAATATCTCCATTTGATATTTTGTTATCTACCACCAATTGACCAAATATCGATGTTACCAAAATTTTCTCTCTTGCACTTATTAATATTGGTCTATCATTTTTATTAATAATTAATCTCTTCATAGTTTACTAGTTACTCTATTAACCCATATTGATAACATTTAGAGCACTTAGGAGTTCCAATTGTTCTAACTGATAAATATATAGTATATATCAACTCAGTTGATGTCAACTGACATCTAATTGAGCATTTAAGGGAATATGGGATATTACAGAAATACTCCAGAAAGTCCCTCCATTCTAAAGCGAAAGGGTTGAACCAAGGTACTTAAGGATAAAAGGAGATTAATTATTGATCCTAAGAATCATCCAGTGAAGTAAAATCCATGGAGGAGAGGTCGAAGAAGAGCCCCAATGAAGGTTTCCAAGATTTGTACCTGACACAAAGCTGGAACACCAGCATGAAGGTCCAGGCTCCAAGATGAAGTTGGGAGGGGATAACTTTTAGATGGTTCATCATAGCCACCTCAAAATCAGAGAAGGGCAGACATATTCCCAACCTGGTGAAGAGACACGTGTACAAAGGAATTAAGTAATCCTCGAAAGTGTTGTATACCCTCTCATCCGAACCTATTGACAAAATCGTTCAATATGGGGAATTGGCAATTATGATGTTGGCATAGGTTATGACTTTGATGGTGTACAAAACATAAGAAGTCCCGACTATTTCGTCAGCCATCCAATGGTACCTACTCGAATTGGTCAACTATATTAATCGAATACCTTTAAGAGCCATCACATTAGCTCTATGATGATCACCGAGATTGACCTAGAACACAATATCCTGCCGCCCTTGACACTCTAAATAATGAGCAATTTCAGCGTCACTAGGGTCATGACCAACCGACTTCTGATATATTTGGATGAAGCGACTAAAACATTCCTTCCTTTGACAGACAACCTGTATTTCTACCTTGATCAAAACAAGAGGAGGCGTCGGTTCCTCGACAAGTTTTTCACCCCTATTGGGTTCCACATGAAACAAAGTTTCTGAAGTATTCATGGAGATAGCTTCATCTGATAGAGATTCTCCAAATGATTCTTCCATCTTCGAACCATAACTCAAAATGATGATTCCTAATTCAAGACCCGCATTGATAGAGGGGAAGGAATGTGATTCAAACTCAATTCCCCTTTTCGGAAATAAAGAAACACTACTCTGCGAGTCACTCTCGATGATATTAGGGTTACCACTCATTCATAATAAAAATGAGATAAAAACTTGCGTAAAAGCCGAGGAGAAATGAATGTACCTTGAAGTAGGAAGGCGAAGGCACTGAAACGGGGAAGGAAGTTGGAAAATCGAAGCTTTAGTGCTTAAAAATTATAAACATGTGACGATGGTTACTATGGAAGTAAGTGTTCTCAAATAATAGGAAAAAACTCAAAGAGACAAGGAAAACTGAGTCTTCAAGAAGGCTAAAAAGTTTTTTCACATTTTCTCTCCATCTTTATATATGCAAAGACAATCGAAGGGATCAAACAGAAAGCAGGAAGTTAAGACAAATCGACTCACATATTTCATCTATGGAAGACAGCCGCAACCAAGTACACATGAAGTTGAGTCACATCACCACATACCTTTTCAGATTACATGCCAAAGAAAAGAAAAAATGACAAAATATTTTAATGATAAGATTGCATTTAATATATGCATTGGCATCACGCTTTGGCAAAACCAAAGCGACGCGTGCATCCGACACTTGGATGAAATTCCTTTGAGGCCAACCACTATTATTGAAAGACTCCCCCGACATCAAACATGCACAATGAGTCTTGAGGGCAACTGTTTCGTGTCGGACAAAGACTCGAGATCCACTGCTCCGCACTGACCAAAGACTTAATAACACGAGACACTTTATCTAGCCTACTCCACCAGTCCCAAAGTATAAATACCTTCGTAATGGATTCTAAATACATAATCTCTGATCTTCATTTTCACTACCAACTATCTTAAAACCTGAACTAAATTAAACATTGAAATGTTAATCATACGAATATCCAGAAACAGATCTAAGAGGGTGGATATGAGAGCATGTGCCCCCATTATATTTTTATCAAATATTTAAATACTATTATTATACATTTAAGTAATAATTAATAAAAGCATATTTATCTAAAAAAGTATAATCTATTGATTAATTGAAATGATACTTTTAGTAGAGGTATATTCTTGCTTAAGATCTCGTTTAAATTGTATGTGAATTTTTTTTTATTTTAGAAGTCTATTTTAAAACTAAAATATATTTGATTAAAATATAGTCAAATTTATTGTGTTTAATTTCAAAATAATTTTCATTACTTTTTTATTTTTATTATAAACGATTTTATATGTTTTACTTTTAACACTAAAATGTCATCACAATAAACAAACAATTACTCCTACCATCATTAATTATATTGATAATTTTTGTAGATAATAAATTTGAGAAAATTATATAAATAAAAATATTAAGAAAGTTATTAAATATTTTAAAAATATATATCTCATAAAAAATAAATGAGATATACTTTTGCTTTAAAAAATAAATGACATATATTATATTACAAATTCATAAATTAATAGAATGCCTTCACAATTTAAAATCTTTGCTAATGGAGATACCCTCTTAAGCCAACCGTATCAGAGATTATAAACCACCGCTTAATTGCAACGTAATAAATCTGATATCAATTATTAAATAACACTATCAAAAATTCTGCATCACCGTAGTTTCCGCAATAAGCATCATTTCTAACTCAGCAATTGAATAGAATATTAATGGATGTTTATTAACGTTTAAGTTTACTTATTAAAAAAATCATGTTTATGTTTAAAAAGAAACGTACTTTTTTACGATTATTTAAAAAATCATCGTGTAAAATGTGTATGATAAATTATTATTAATGTTTCTATTGGTGACTCGAAGTTAGGAATCTAACGTGATAATTTTTTGGATAAGTGACAAACACTCGAAGTTAGGAGTCTAACATATGGTGTTTATTAAAATCATTGCAACATTTATTATTTTTTTTCAGAAACACCTATCCCCAAAAGTCTAACGTATGTGTTTGTTGCATGTTCCACTTGTGCAATTTATACATAGTTTCGTGTAAGTCACGGTAACTTTGCCTTGAAACACCACAATAGTATTTTAAGAGTTTATAAACATTTTACATTTCATGCACATGTTTTGAATGGTACACAAGCTTAGCATAAGAATTCTATAAAAGTGTTACTCAATCGATCTAATGTAATCAAACCAGCTAAATACTATGAGTTCCAAACTGCAAACATTGATCCTTGTCTTAGTCTTAACAATATCCTCATTCACTATCAAAGCATCACCAACCGATGCCGGCATTGCCATCTACTGGGGTCAAAACCTAGGAGACGGCTCTTTGTCCTCAACATGTGACACTGGAAACTACAAGATTGTACTCTTAGCTTTCCTCAATGTCTTTGGATCAGGAAGAACTCCAAGCTGGAACTTCGCCGGACACTGCGGTGACTGGAGTCCATGCACAAAACTCGAACCCGAAATAAAATACTGTCAACAGAAAGGTATCAAAGTTTTACTTTCCATTGGAGGTGCTTCTGGAAGTTACTCCCTTAGCTCACCAGATGATGCTAAAGTTGTCAGTGATTATCTTTATACGAACTTCCTTAGTGGCCAATTTGGTCCACTTGGAAGTGTTACCTTAGATGGTATTGATTTTGATATTGAAGGAGGTTCAAATCTTTATTGGGATGACCTTGCTAGGTATCTTGACAATCTAAGACAAAACAACAGGTACTTTTACTTGGCTGCTGCACCACAATGTTTTATGCCAGATTACTATCTAGACAAAGCTATCAAAACGGGCCTGTTTGATTATGTGTTTGTTCAGTTCTACAATAACCCTCCATGTCAATATGATATAGCAAATTCTGATGCTACTTTGCTCTTACAATCATGGAAAGATTGGACATCGTTGGTTCTACCATATAACACGGTGGTTTTCATGGGATTACCAGCAGCACCTGATGCAGCTCCTAGTGGTGGTTATATCCCACCAAATGATCTCCTTTCTAAGGTTCTTCCTTACATTAAAGGTACTTCTAACTATGGAGGAGTTATGCTTTGGGATAGGTTTCATGATGTTGGAAGTAATTACAGCAATCAGATAAAGGAATATGTTAAACAATCTGCTCTTCAATTAATGACACAAGTTTCCGAAGCAATAGTCGGCTCTGTCTCGGCAGCTTTGAAAGCCGTTTTGCTAAATTAAGTTATAAATGTATGTGTATTGAATAAGAGTGAACTTTGATCCTCTACAGCCACCTTTATGATGGCTGTATACCTCAAGATTAAGAAATAAAAATGATGATACTTACGCATGTCATCCATCTGCCTATCTCTAGTTACTCTTTGATTTTCTTGGTGTTCATGTAAACTAAGGGAACCAAAGCATCTTTTCCTATCTTATGTTAAATATGTATTATATTTGGTTTGGTTTTCGTTTGCATGTTTTTTTCAAAACAAAAAGAAGATATCCAATGAAAGATTAAGACTAGATAGCTAAATTGGCAAGAAAGTCAACACAAGAATTGTCTTTTTCTATATATGTGAGTAAATCATGTTTGTTCATATGTTGTTAAGTTTCTCTTTACATATATGATGAAATCTATTGATTAGGAAAAGGCTAAACAATTTAGCTATCTAGTCTTAATCTTTCAAGGGACCAAACTAAGATTTGAGAAAACATTAATAACAATGACACAATCATTTTCAATCCAAAGTTTCTTCCAGTTAAACTCTGGTATCTTTTCAAGAATTATCATTGCAGCAAACATCTCTGCTACCAAAGCCATGCCTAAGTTAAGATAAACGCAGAAACTGCCATCATGACAAACTTTGTAGTTTATGAAGATTCCACCACAATCACTTAAAGAAAGGGTGCCTATGGCCAAGCCATCAATATTACATTTAAGTCAACCTGTAGGAAGAGGATGTCAAAGAACATCTTTGGTCATCAATGTCTTTCAAAACACCAAAAAAACAAAAACCCAATTTATTCTAAGTTCTAATCTAACATCACCATATAAATTTTCAAACATCTCAATTAACTCTAACCAGGAACAGAGCCTTCAATCTCAATCTTCTTAGCCATGAACTGAAGACAGTACTCAATATAAGAGCTAAATTCTTGAAAACTCCAACCTTCCACCGGATCACAAACAAAGCCCCACTCAATCAAACACCCAACCGTCTCACCATCACCCTCCACCGGTATTACTTTCATCATCGCCACATAAGACTTAAACCCCATGTTGTTCTCACCAATTTCATACGACAAACAACGTTGCAAAGGATCCATCGTCAACAGCTTCTCTTTCGCCCACTTAACCGTAGCCTCAGACTCATCCTCAACAACCCCTTTTACCGTTGAGGAACAGTAACGAACTAAACCAGGTTGTCCTTGAACACCTTCAACGTAGTGAGATGTCTGTATTGGGATCCATTTGTGTAGGTTGCAGAAATCCTCTAAGGCTGACCATGCTTGTTCCGGTGCGGTGGATGGTAGCTCGACGGTGAGTTTTCCTTCCCAAAGAGGGTCGGATTCTTGTCCCATGAGTGTGGCCGATTGCGTAGCGGGTAGGTTACGCTTAGTGAGAAAGAATGTGGCGAGGGAGACATTTATAATGTCAACTACCTAACACTAAACACTGTGTAGCGTAATTAATGCAAGGGAATCGATAGTGAACCACGCAAGTTCTTTCAACCGTGGAATTTTTATTCAATCTTTTTCTCCCCTTTTTACCATTACTCCGAGTGTACTTGTTACCAATAGTTGGAAGATGGATATAATGATTTTTATCACGCCTTTGAAAACAAAATCATTCATAGGAGCTCTAGCAGGGTTACGACTACCCTTATATTCATCATTACTAATAATAGCATTAAAATCTCTAATAAAGCACTAAGAAGTGTTAGGCACTTTAGTACTAAGCTTACTCCACAGCTCTCTTATATGCAAATAACTGGTAGATGCATATATGATAGAAAATACCATGGTTTTGTTTTGATTTTCAGGGTAAAAGAAACATGTTCATCAAGATGATTCAGCCAGTTTTGAGGAAAGTTCGAAAAACTCATCCAAGGTTCTGCTATGAAAACCAAGTCAAGATTATTATCGGTTATCAGTCTCTTAAGGGTAAGCCTAGAAGAGCTTTTAGTCACACCTCTTATATTCCAAAAGAGGCTCTTCATAAGGAATGTTTGGAATGACTGGACTTTGATATAGTATTGGTGTTGGATTTTGAATTTTTGTTTCTTCTCCTTGAAGAGACCAATTGGAACTCGTCTTTTAGAATGTAATCACTATCCTAATCTTCATCATTAGCCAAATCAGCCATATTAGTCCAAGACTTTTCCATAAAAATCCTTAACTTGTCTTTCTCGAAATCCATAATAGCTTGATTTTCATATATAATTTCCTCAATTTGAGTGGCATCCACGAAATCACTTTCAGAGTTTCCATCAGCTTCTCTAATTTATATAATTCCTCTAGGTTCAACAACATTGTTTATATTTCCTTTGTTGGCCTCCCTTGTATCTATAACTAGTTCAGCCCCCAAGTCATCTTGTTTGTTCTTTTCCAAATCATTGTTGTTTCCATCTTCAGTGTCAGTTTTATTTCCTACATGTATGTAATAGGATTGCTTGACCTGTTTATGTGTTATTTCTCTATCCTTTCCTTTACGTTGTTATTTTCTTTTATGGCTGATAAAAGAGTGTCCACTACTAGAAATGTTGTATTTAGCCTCGGCCATTTTCTGACACTATAAGGCAAAAAACTAACGCTACTAACCAATTAGCCTCGGCGTAGCGTCGGTGTCGGGGATAGGCTAAAACGATCGAAGCTAACATTTAGCCTCGACCAAAAAGAGTCGTGTCTATAGTAGCCTCGGTCTAGCCGTATCTAATTTAGCCTCGGTTTAGCCGTGTCTACTTTAGCCTCGGTGAAGCCGTGTCAAAAAACAAAAAAATAGTCTGAGCCTGACCGAGGCTAAAGTCAAACTCTATAAGCTCACATAATATTTAGCATTGGTCCTGGTCGAGGCTAAAGGAACATTTTGCCTCGACTTTTTCGAGGCTAAATTCAAACTTTATAAGTCAACAAAATATTTAACTTTGGCCTAACCGAGGCTAAAGTCAAATTGTACCAACATTTAGCAATCAAACTCCGGAGCGCCTTGTGGAGTCCGAAGCACAACTTGACCTATTCCATTCTGATCCTTTGTAATTTTAGTTGCTGCTCTAAAGTCCCATACTGCTCCATCTAAATTAATCATGCAGCAACAAGGCAAAAAAACCATTCAACATAAACCAATATATATATATATATATATATATATATATATATATATATATATATATATATATATATATATATATATATATATATATATATATATATATATATATATATATATATATATATATATATATATATATATATATATATATATATATATATATATATATATATATATATATATATATATATATATATAAAATTAGGATTCACACGTGACAATGCATCCATTCATACAACGGTCATATAAATTCAATTTATATTACCAGTTCACTAAAATAACCACATTACACTAAACCAATTGATATAGAATGAATCAATCTCACCTTCCACATTATAATAGCACAACATGTTAACCGACAGTGATAAATCATTTGGATTAGCATTGCACATTCAAATCTAGTTGCATAACTAACATGAACCTATTCCATAAGTTGACACTAACTCCTGACTTTTCATTTTAAACTAAATAGCATGTAAATTAGTAGTTCATTGATACATAACCTACAGTCATCAACTAAGTGAATTAACACCTAACCAAATTCGCATTGCATATTAACAGACTAACTACTCACGAATTGCTTCTCATTAACTTTAACTAGTTAACAATTTCATTAACACTAAATAACTGAACTCCATGTCACGGTTAAACAGAATTTTGGGACCAAGTGTGAAGAACAGTAAAACAGAGCCTTTGGTGAAGCACTAATCTATGTGTCCCACTCTTTAACATGATATGTAGTTTCCTATTGTAGAGTTGAAAATTGTTTTAAGTTAATACAAAATCACTGTAAGGAAAAACCCACACGTTCCACTAAAATTTTGGACGTCCAATACAAGAATAGAATGAGCAGAACTCGAGGACCTTTTCATATTCAATATCCACAATGAAAGCAAAACTCACACGTTCCACTAAAATGTTGTAGTTGAAATCCTTTAAAGTATTTTGTTTAAGGAAAAAGCTTGAGCACACCCTGATTTAAATTTGTAGACGCTTTTGATTGACTGCATTCTATGGCAAAACATTGGAGTATGTATGAATGTCATAACTGATGTTATGACATACATGAAAAGTGTTCTGCAGGGAGAGCTAAGAGTAAGTGAAGTTGAATGTCATACTGGATGTTATGACATCAAGCGTATGACATCAAGGCGCGTAGGGTTAGTTTTTTTGTTATTAGCTCAGGCTATACTTCATGAAACAATTCAGGAAGCCTAGTTATCTTGGGCGACATAACAGACATTGCTGAGGATAACATAGAAGACTCCTGACCTAATGATAAGGGCGCAGCTTCATGAAGAGAGGTTTATCTTGGGTAAACCTAGTTTCTCCATTAAGGCCCAAAGCAAGTCTGCTGCTATAAATAAGAGAATGATCACTCCAAATAGGGCAGAGCTTGAAGGCAGAGCTTTTGGAGAGAGATTAGAGAATGTGATTTGTGAGTGAAGATCTTTGTTCTTCACGTGTGTTTAGGAGTCTTAGGATTCCTTATAGGCCAAGCAATTGTCTGATGTATTATTGCTCTGGTTTAGTGTGTATGAATTGTTGTGTTCATTGTATCACTCAAAACTTTTAAGTAAGAGTGTTGTGTCTCTTGATCAAAGTTGTGAAGCAAGATCGAGGTGTGTTTGAAGAGTGTCTTCACATTGTAATTGTGTATTGGTTTATATCACTGAGGTGATTGAGGGGGAGTGAGTGGGAAACTTAGGTCTAGTGGTCTCTAGGCTGAAGTGTCATTGGGTAGGTCTTAAGTGAAGAGTGAAAACGGGTTGTTTGACTCTGAATTAATTCTACTAATAGTAAATTTCCTCCCTGGCTTGGTAGCCCCCAGATGTAGGTGTGGTTGACGCTGAACTAGGTGAACAAATACTTGTGTTATTTATTGCTTTCCATTTACAGCTTATTAGTAAGTTCAGTAGTTTGTGTTACAGTGGATGTCATAACATCTATGATAACATCCATTGTGTGCTTGCCAGAATTTCAATTGGCATCAGAGCAGACACCCTGCATGTTACTTCTGGGTGAGATATAGGGAAGATAAATTCGGGTACTATGGATAAAGATATAGAATTCACAAATAGACCACCAATTTTGGATGGCTCTAATTATGAATACTAGAAACCTAGGATGATAGCCTTCTTAAAGTCTTTAGACAGCAAGGCATGGAGAGCTGCAAACTCAGGAAGGTAACATCCAGTGAAGACTGATAAAGATGGAGTATATGTGCTTATACCTGAAGAAGAATGGACCAAAGAGCAAGAAGCTTTGGCTCTTGGAAATTCTAAGGCTCTGAATGCCTTATTTAATGGTATAGACAAGAACATTTTCAGACTGGTGCATCATTGTGAACTGGCTAAAGAGGTATGGGATACTCTCAAGACAACTCATGAAGGAACCTCTAAAGTCAAGATGTCAAGACTACAAATGCTGACCACCAAGTTTGAAAGTCTGAGAATGAAGAAGAATGAGACTATTCATGAATTCTACATGAATATTCTTGAGATAGCTAACACCTCAGGAGCCTTGGGAGAAAAGATGTCTGAAGAAAAGCTTGTGAGAAAGATACTCAGATCTTTGCCTAAAAGGTTTGCCATGAAGGTCACTGCCATTGAAGAAGCTCAAGACATGTGCAATATGAAGCTGGAGGAACTCATTGGCTCACTACAAACCTTTGAGATGGGAATGTGTGATCAGGCTGAAAAGAAGAAAAGCATAGCTTTTGTGTCAAAGGCTAAAGAAGTTTCTGATGAAGACAATGGTGAAAGTGAGGAGAATTTGTCAGAAGCAATAGCCTTGCTTGGAAGACAATTTAACAAATTAATCAAGAGAATAGACCATAAGTCTAAACCTTATGCCAAGGAAAATTATTCTGACACCAACAGAAGGGAAAAATCTGAAGATAGATCTAACCAAGGCAAAGGAGTTCACTGTTATGAATGTGAGGGTTATGGTCACATTAAAACTGAATGTCCCACCTATCTCAAGAAGCAAAAGAAGGGACTAGCAGTCACTTGGTCTGATGGAGATTCTAAAAGTGGATCAGAAGAAGAATCTACCAAACATGTCACTGCTCTGAATAGTGTATGTATATCTGATGGTGATTCAAGTGAATAGGAGCTAACTGTTGAGGAACTTGCAGCTTCATATAAGAAGGTTTGCATCAGAAGTGGAGAATTATATCAGCAAGGAGAGCAACAGAAGAAACTCATAAGGGAGTTAGAGGCTGAGAAGATGGAGCATCTTGCAACAATAG